ACAGTCCTTAGAATCATCTCAATATTCTTGTACCCTCTGATTATTATCATCTTTGCTGCTTTGCTATTTCTGTTGCCTTTCTTTAAAGCTTCTTAGGCTTTGAAGAGGCACAAAATATTTACTTTGTGTCTGAAGAAATCTTTTTACGGCTTATGGAACTAACACAACAAAAGTTTTTAAAAAAACCAGATAAATTGTCATGATCTTAATTAAATATCTACTTGAAAAACAACCCAGGAGCTTTACCCTAAGCAAACAGCCTATTTATTTTCCTAAAAGAGAAATATTAAAAAGGTCAATGTCTTTGCCTCAGGAATTTTTGGGCCTCTTCCACCGATTAAGAGCTAAAGTTTTTGTTAATGGCTTTAGCAGACCTTACAAAAAGAGATTATCTTTGCAAAGGATACAAATCAAAAGTATAACATTTTGTTTGCTTACAAAATCCTCATATATCATATGTACAAAAGTTTCATAATATTTTCCTTTTTGTGACCCTCCAATTCAGGTTTAGGATATGGATGGCTATAGATGACAGTTGTAGCTGAGGATGTGCTCTAATCAGTAGAGGCAATGTGGCTGTAATGGAAGCAATACAGGCACAGGACAGGGCCTGGTTCAGGCTTTGTCATTCTGCAGTACAGCAGAGTTGGAGAAGCCCCTTTCCACTCAGGTCCATAGCATGAGTGAGGAAATAATACTGATGTCTTTCACTGATTTGCTTTAATTATGGGTGGAGGTAAAGTGATAGCATTGAAATGGGAACATTATCACTGCAAAAGGTGATTATGGCAGCTGAAAATTATATGCTGGCCAAATATTCTTTGTATGATGGATGCCATCCTTTTGTAAATTTTTTTAGAGAATGATCTGGAGAGGGAAGATTGCTGTCAATCATCCATTCTTTTAACATTTACTGATCAACTTTTACATATCAGGCACTGGTCTGGGTGTTTGGGATCCAAAGATGGATAACACTCCCTTGCAGGTGGGGTGGGTAGAGAAGGCTTACTGGAGTCATCAGTGTGTGACCTGAATTATATGGACTGAGTTGGAATTGGATGAAGAAAAAAAAATGGGGTTAGGATATCATCAACAAAGTCATGGAAGTGAAAAACAATACAGCATGTGGGCAACTATAACCAGTGTATGAGGCACTGTCTTGTTTGTTTTGATTGCTTTCATTTTTCAAATCATAGAAAACTGGAATTACACAATAATAAAACCTTTACTTCTTCCAAGTAGAGGAACACATAAATTTGTAACTGTGAGGGTTACAAGAGTAGCTTCTAAGAATTCAAAGCCAGAATATAGACTCTGCTCTGGGCTCAAGTTCCCAGTAGCTATAGTCATAGAGGAGGTGTTTTTTTTTTTTAATTTCTTGGGCTTTAAGATATTATTGCATTTCTCAACAAGTTTCACATTGTAGCTATTCAAGAGCTCTTTTGCTATTTTTTTAAAGAAAGGAAAAATGTACCAAAAAGCAAAAAAGAAAACAAAAAATTCTGCACTTTATTGTGAGGCCCTGAGAATAAAGATGGATGGAAGTCTTAAAATACTCTGGATGTGTACATTTACACAAGTATATTAATTTATTCATTAAGCAAAGGTTAAGACATTGCTTAGAAATGTGCCATTCTTTTCTACACTCCTCCTGGCTGTAATGCACCCTTTTAAATTTAAATTGTAGTTCTCAATGTGACTATGATGCACATTTTTCTTTCAGTTTTCTGGTTCCATCAAGATGCTGAAATTTTTCTGTCTCTACCTTTCTCTGGGAGTTAAGGTCTTGTTGTCATACATGCAGTATAGGTAAATATGGTAGATTTGGGTATACATTTAACAATAAAGTAATTTAAAATGTTTTAACTTAAAACCATAAATATACTGAAGTAACCACACAACAATAAAATCATTGTAATAGCATTTGCTAAGTGATACTGACAAGTAGTCCAATCATCCTTTTTCAGAGCTGAACTGAGAATATGACCATAACAGATACACTCAAATCTAGACTAGGAAAAAAGTTTCCTATTTTCTGAGTTAAATGTGGTTTCAAATTAGGCTTCTTTGTATTTCTTTCTGTTCAGAAATAAAAGAAGAAAACTTAAAAAAAATTTCTCTAAAAGCATTTTTAAATCATTTTTCACACTAAGAGAAAATTATAGTCTTGGAACCAATGTTTGGCTGTCTTCAAAATGATGGAAAATTTCCAATGGCTGCTCACATATGTTCTCCAAGTCGATGCTCAAATGTGGAAAATGAGCAAGGTACCTGGAATTAGTGCATAAGATTTGGGTACCTGGAATTCTTCATTGGTCAAGTGTCAATACATACATATTTGAAAAACTGAGTCCCCCTTCTCTTTTTTTAAAAGGATGACCATTCCTCAAGATAAGTTAGGTTATAAGGCTGAACATGACATTTTGAAATACTTGCATTCTTGTGAGTGGTTTCCCTTCCTTCCTTCCCTCAGAGCTACTGTAGGATATAGGTGAATCCATCTTCTTATATGTATTGAAATCAATGACAGTTGTAAAAGTAACAACTATAAAGGAATACAAGTTAGATTCAACACATGAAGTCATTTTAAAAATGCATACATATGGAAACCAATGTTGGGTATGAATGTTTTCATAACTTTTAGAATATTGTTGTCAAGTTTGATAAAAAGTTTATTTAATTTTAATTTTTAAAGATTTTTTTAAGTAATCTTTTCATCCAACATAAGGCTCAAACTCACAACCCCGAGATCAAGAGATGCATGCTCTACTGACTGAGCCAGCCAGGTAACCCTAGGTTTATTCTGAAGATTTGCACTATTTTGCATCAAGCAGTGAGAATTATTTAGACTTTGTTAACGTCAGTCATATGCTACATCTCAGGTGTAATGGAAGCCAGTCTCCAAGAGAGGTAGAAGTGGAATCTCAGGTCACACAAAATTTCATCCATGCAGCCCTAATGCAGTTTACTATGTATACAAAACTATTTTCATACATATTTTATGCTATTTTATGTAGAAATGAATGATACTGAAAACCAAATGTAAATCAAGTCCTCTTCCTGAATCTCCCATTTCTGCTCATAATTCCACTATTCTTTTCATCCATGATGCTCCTATGTTGGAAACCTTGAGTTATCTTACTGTTCTCCCACTGGCCACCCACATATCTAATTAGTCACAAAGTCCTGAAGCAAGCTTCTAATTTTATTTTAATTCACTTGTACACTGAACTAGTTCAGTACTTTTCCTTTCAAAATGGGATCTCAACTAGTAGAAATGTTGGCTGCCCTGCTTTCTATTTGACTGGCCAAAGGCACTCCACATGTATTGCCTATCAAATTCCTTTAACTTGTTTTGATAAGGTCATTATTCTGTTTAAAATAAAACAGCAGACATACCATGTCTCCCTTTCTCTGCCTGACTTATAGAAAAAAATTTAAATTCTTTCACCTGGAATTCAAGATCTGCTGAATACACTGTGAATACATTTATTAGTGTGAAGTTCCTATTATTCTCGGCATTTGTTATATAGAAAGAATGCTATAAATAGTTCTTATTGACTATTGCCCCCCTTTTAACTTGGACATAAGCCTTCAGGAACTAAGTTTTGTCTTTTTCATATATCAAAATCTAGCTCAAACATTACATTTTCTGCAGACCCTCATTTTATTCTGTATGAAATGAAAACCTATATTTACTCATGTTTTTTATTCATCACACATTATCCAACACTTGCTTCAATCCAAATATGGAAAGATGAATATCCTTCCCCACTTCAAGGTACTTACTAGGTGGCTTTATTCAAATAAACAGTGGCACTATTGTGTGATCTGCACTACAATACAAGACTACACAGAGACAGTGTTTTTTTTAAGATTTTATTTATTTATTCATGAGAGACACACAGAGAGAGGCAGAGACATAGACAGAGGTAGAAGTAGGCTCTCTGTAGGGAGCCTGATGCGGGACTCGATCCCAGGACCCTGGGCCAAAGCGTCTGAGCCAAAGGCAGACACTCAACCACTGAGCCACCCAGATGTCCTGAGACTGGTGGGATTCAATGGAGGTTGTTGTAAACTCAGCGGACAAAAGTGAGGGTCAAGAAAAATTCTATTGTGTAAATGAATCTTGAGTGTCTTGAAAATAGTGAAAAGACATTTCAGTCAAAGAGAATAGTACTATAAAGGCGTGGAGACTTGAAACACATAGGAGTGTTCAAAAGCTAATAACAAATCTGGCTTGGCTTGAGAGAAGAAGAAAAGACCATCTTACAAAATATTGGTTATGATATCCTAAGAATTGTGCTTCAGACATAGTGATCACTCAATAAGAATTTATTCAATGAACAAATTAATGAATCATTTTATTCACTACGGGTATATTGAACCTTTGTGTTTAAATATTTAATATTCAATAATTTACTAGTTTTCACCTGGGCTAATCTTGCCATTTTCAACAACATGAATGGCCCTCCATGGAGGTATTACATTAAGTGACATAAGTCAGACAAAGGAAGAGAAATGCCATATGATTTCACTAATATGTGGAATCTTAAAAAACAAAACAAAGCAGAAACAGACTCAGAGAAATACATAGAACAAACTGGGGTTGCCATAAGGGAGAGGGAAGGGGGGAATGGCAAAATTGGGAAAGGGGAGTGGGAGATACAGACTTCCAGTTACACAATTAATAAGTCATGGGGATGAAAGGCATAGCATTGGGAATATAGTCAATGGCATTGTAATGGTCTTGTATGGTAACAGATGGTAGCTACACTGTGGTGAGCACACCATGACATGTAGACTTGTTGAGTCACTATGTTGTATGCCTGAAACAAATGTAACATTGTGTGTCAACTATAATAATAAAAAAGATATGTGCAAAAACATAAAAAAAAAATCCTGCTATATGAACGCCAAAAGTTGAGAGTTCTTAAAGTTAACATGTGTATACAAATGTATAACACAAATATTTGTGTTTTTCTTTTTTCTTTTTCTAGGGTCAGACATTGTTCAGTGGTTAATAAAGAACTTAACTATAGAAGATCCAGGTAAATAAATCATTTTCCCATTGATAGAATTATTTACTTTGTGGTTTTAAGAAATATGTTTCTCTTAGGGCTAATATGGCAAGCAAGCAAATCTAAAAGATAATTACATTTTAACTATGCTTTTAGTATTTATACAAATTTTATGGTAGTCAAAATATATTTAACTAAAATCTAGTTAGTACATTTTAACAATTTTTCACATATTTAATGTTCCATTTCATAAAATTTGATTCAGGTAATTGATTATTATAGAATGGGTAAATTATATATGTGTTCATAAATAATTATAGATATATAACAAATGATTATGAAGTAATGAAATTTCCCTTCATAAAACACATAAAGGTAAATTTCACTAATTTGTCATTTTTCCCTAACTCTGTTTTCGCATGAGGTTTGAAAACAATGTTATTTGTAATTTTTGTTTTTTTGATCATGACTACATGATTTTTTTAATGATCTTATTAAAGTCATGGAGCCATTCACTGTGGTGGATATTACGTCTGCTGTGTAGCATTAGCTAATTTCCAGAGTTTGGGAACAGTTGCTGCCAGCCAATGTTGTACATTGCCTAGAACAAATTCCTACATGTGAAGGACATTTAATGACTTTTTAAAAATGTCACATAAGAGCTTTCATATGCAGCAAACAGTTTACATCCCTGAAGTGAAAATAACATGTATTTTGTTTAGAGAAGATGCAAAGAAAACAAACAAAAAGCTTATTAAAATTGATATTACAGTGACTGAGAATGACATACATAGTAGGGAATGATGGCAATACACCAACCACACAGCAAACTGTCAAGTCAATTAGAAAAGAATTCAGCATGATTTTTGTTCTTGCCTCTGTTGGTTACCACCTTAGGATGGTTTAGAAATAACAGTATATTGAAAGGCAAAGTTCCTATTTTTCCTCATTCAGAGCTAACTTTATAAAGCCATGTTATCGGAAAATGTAGATGTAATTCTGTCATAAATGCCTGTGCACACCCCCTGCTCATCTGCTACATGAACTTTTAGAATACTTATCCTAGCAGGTTAAAAAGGATGAAAACAAGTAAAGATGAAGCACCTATTGTCAGCATCATATTGTTACTAAGTAAAAAAAGAGATGATTCCTGGGACAAGTAGTCACAGTCTTAACAAGTTTACCTTTTGGTCTCAACTCAGGCTGACTTTACAAACTGTAACACCAGACAAAATCCCCCAGTGCTAAAAAACAGATTGACATAGTCATTGACAATCAGGGAACTATGAATTTACCAAAAAAAAATGCTGTTGCTCAAAGGGTGAAGTGAATTCAAGAGTATTTCTTGTGAGTTAAGACCAAAAAATGTACTTTAATCCTAGTCTGAAAAGCAGGGGAGACACGTGATTGTAAGAAACAGCTTATAAGAGACAGTCATTGTTCATAATTGACACCAGATATCACTTTAGCTATAACGTGTATGAAAAACTGATTTTATTTGCTTGCTCTGCAGTTTAAGGAAGTTGTAAATCTTCGTTAGAAGCTATATGGAAAGTTAAAATCAATCATATCCAGGAAGGATCATACATGTTCTTTGGTTCATATTTATGACTGGCCAAAAAACTAGTTGTTTTTGGTTGTTTGGTTGTTTGGTTGGTTAGTTTGAATGAACTAATTCAGCTTCTACAAAGTAAAACACTAGATTTTAAGAAGAGCAGGAAGCATTGGTGGCTGTTCTGAAGTTATAACAGATTTGCACACAGAAATGTATCAATCTGGCAGCATAATTTTCATGAAATATGGCCAAGGACATAACTGACATCATTAAAGTTACTCTAATAGCTGCATATATGAAATTAATCATAGCATTTTGTAACTGCTCATTAAAGAGAGACTAAATAGTTATTATAGTAACAGGTTTAATTTTAACCCTATAAATTTTCTAAAAATTTAAAAATAAATTATGCCTCATGCCAGGTTTCTATCTGGCTATCAAGTGGTTGTTTGAAGACCTCTAGGGGTCATTGGAACTTCCAGATGTCAGTCATTTGTTGAAAGAGGATTTTGTGACAAGTTGGAAGATATCAATGTCTGGGTGTAGGAACAGGTTCTGTGGCCCATCTGGGGACAGGGGGAGAAGGTTGCATGGTGTTCAGGGTCTTCATAAGACCAGTAAATCCACATTATTTTTACATTTAGTGTTCAATATTTTGTTATTGAATATTTAATACCTTTCCATTTCTATTGTAATTCAGTGCACATTTGGTTGTATATTTTACTAGAGATTTTGATACTATTAGACAAGTGGCTTTATTGTATTATTCTTTTTAAATAAAGCTATAATTAGACCTTTTAATTAGAATTTAGGATTATTTTGACATTTATACACACATATATCCACATATCCATGTAATACACATGCAGGATTCATCTAAAAGTTTTGTTTTCATTTACATCTTGGGTCTATTTTCATGATTAATAGATTTTCTAGAAGAAATTTATTTCTTCATTGATCTATTCATACTTTTATCCATTTAACACATATTTTCTGAATTCTTACTATGGGCTAGGCACTAGGAATATAAGAAGAAATTCCCTCCCTGATTGATGTGATTGTCTTTGGCTTCTAGGGTGTCACACTCATGGCTTTTGTTCCTTGTCACTGCCCACATAGCCTTCTGTGACAGTCTGCACTCCTAGATAATCTATGAATTTTGGAATGTCCAAGTTTCTGTCCTAGGTGCCTTTCTTTTCTCCATATACACACTTTTGCTCAGTGGCATATGTGGGGGACTCACAAATTCATAGCTTTCATGCTGACCTCTCCATGCTGTTCCATACTGGTCTATTTGATGCGTATGTGGCCTCTCTTGGGGGCTAGTCTCCACATGAACAAAGTAGAACCCTGATTTATCCCCTCTCAATCCTGCTCCTTCTGTCTTCCCCGGACCAGTTACAGACTTCGATTGTTCAAGTTTGCTTTGTGAGTTCTTTCAGGAGAGTTTCTAAGTTTCCTCATAGGGATTTTGCATGTTTCATATTAAGCATGTTCCTAGTTATTTTATTTTGTGTTACTATTATATGCAAGTTTTTCTCTTCACTTGTATCTACTAACCAGTTATTTGTACATATGAAAAATTTTAATTTATGTATGCTAATTTTCTATATCACTACTTTACTAAATGTTATTTTTGTTAGTATTTTAACTAATTTATTGTAAAGCTTCTTCCAGCAGTTTCTCAGGATTATATGTATTTGTTCAATTCCTGAATCCCTGTGTATCTGACATTAACTTTTGTTGCCTGTGTGTATGTTGACAACTTAGCTAAATATAATGTAGGTGAGATAAGCTTTTTTCTTTAAAACTCTGTGGAGGGATCCCTGGGTGGCGCAGCGGTTTGGCGCCTGCCTTTCGCCCAGGGCGCGATCCTAGAGACCCGGGATCGAATCCCACATCGGGCTCCCGGTGCATGGAGCCTGATTCTCCCTCTGCCTGTGTCTCTGCCTCTCTCTCTCTCTCTGTGTGACTATCATAAATAAAATTAAAAAAAAATTTAAAAAAATTAAAAAAATAAAACTCTGTGGATATTATTTCATTGTTCTCATTCATTCACTATGGTAACATCTGAAAACTAATTTTTCATATATATGTGAAATATATATACAATTTTTCATATATATATGCATATGTATGTGTGTGTTTTCCCCTGCCTATATCTCTGTGATGTCTTCCCTATCTTTGAAATGTACACAACTGCTAGGGGTTTGTTTGTTTGTTGGTGAATTTGTATGATCTGCTAAATCAGTTAAGTCTGTTGATTCATGTTTACTTAAGTTGAAAAACAATTTTCCTGATATATTATTTAGATTTCATTTCTTCATGCCTAATATGCATACAATAATGATGTCTACTACTTAGTGCCTTCCTGAAAATTAAAGAATTAATGTATATAAAGCAGTTACTACTAAAAAAGAACAGTAACCAGGAATTTATTACTATACTTTTTGCACAATAATTGCTCAGAAAATATTAACATTTATGGTTGGTCTTATGTTCATTTTTTATTTTATTTAATCATTTTATTATATTTAATCACTTTCCTGTTTATTTATTCTGGTTTATTCTTTTGAAATAACATTTACTAATATGTTTTATTCTACCTTTCACCCATTTATCATTTTCTTCTCTTTCTCTCTTTTCTTAGCTCTTTTCTTTCCTTCTCCCTCTAGGTAAACTTGTTAAGTTTGCACATTATAGAATTCATTCTAATTTCCTCCACTGGCAATTCAGATCTTTATTGCTATTAATGGAGAATAAATCTATTGCATTTCAAGTTTTCATAATTATGTCTAGTTCTGTATTTCCACCTGCCTTTGGCATGCCCCCTTATAGTCACAGCCTGTTGTCTTGTGAGTCATCTTTCATCTCTTCTTTCATGACATGAGTGTCATTCACTTTTACTGTTTTAATTGAACATAGGAGAGACTGTTGTTAAGCTTACTTCATGCCATTTTATGTCTTAGAAATGTCTGTGGGTTTGTTTTATGAATTGTTTTCCCATTTATTTTCCTCAAACATAAAGGATTCCTCAACAGATGTTTGACTTTTGACAGAGTGGATGGAATGTCTTGGGTAACTCAATGCCATAGTTTCCCTTCTTTACAGGAGAAGCTGCAGTGATGGTAATATTAATTTGCATTAATAAATAGGTTAGTTTTAGTTTTTAGTTAGACTGAGTATAGTGGAGAAGGAGTGAAACTGGGAGTGATCCCAGCCTCAGGACGTCTTCACGGTACCATACTGTCTCTGGATGTGATGAACCCTTTTCATTGGCCACACTTTCACTCTGTATTCTGCTTTGTCAGTTGCCAATCACCTGAACACTGGGGTCATGCCAGATTTCCATGTTATGTGCTCTTCACATGGTAGAGAGAAGCTACTGTTTAGTGACTCCATGAACAGCATCCAAAATGGTGTGTTTCCTTCTCTTCTGTTCTGACCTTCCCACTGCAGACTTGGAAGATTCATT